AAGAGTTGCTAGTTTGCGATCAATTTTATATGTATCCCCGTGCTGTACCCTGTGTGATCCAAATACCGCTATATAAGGCGCCACTCCAGTAGCACCATAAGTAACACTTCTTATCGCGAATGCTGCATCACTTACACATTGGTCCCAATTTTTCTGGTTATCATTTACATACGCTCGGATGATTTGTAATATAGACCGATTTACTTTCTCTGCCGTATTTGCTTGTGGTGAGTACACTCCTGTCCGAATTTGGTTTACTCTATATTTATCTAAAAATACCTTAAAAACTTCAGATATAAATTGCTTACCATTATATGAATGAACATACTCTGGAATTCCAAACATGTAAAACACATGTTTTTCCAAATATTTCACTACATTTGAAGCTGTGGCTACTCTCATTGGTTTTAAAAATACATATGTGGAAAAATGATCCAAGCAAACAAATGATACGGTGCTACAGTCCTTTGACCTAGAATAGGGTCCTATAAAATCAATATAGACTCTGTTAGAGCGGTTAAAGTCAAATTGTTAATATTGTAGGATTCTGTAGAATTATTATAATTGATGTGTTATATGATTTATATATTATATTTTATTATATTTTAAGCTATTGTAATTAATATATTGTATAGTTAAATTATTATAATTAATATATTATATAATTCATATATAATATTTTATATGGTTAATATATGGTTAATTAATTTATCTACCTAGCCCTGTATAAGATGTAATCAAACCAACGGTTCTAATTCTTGTTTTTATTGCCTTTTGTTTTTTGCGCTCGAGATGAGCAATTTTTTGTTATATTTTTTGGCTGCAAGTAAACTCTTGGTTTGATTCTGTCTCTTGGTTTTCGAACGCGAAAGTGTCAACACACGGGTACACACAAAAAAGTGATTAAACAATCAATAACCGAAATTGTATAAATTAAATAAATTCAAATAAAGATCACAAAAAACTAATTATAAAAACGCTTATAATTTACAGACTCGTTGGAAAGGTTTCACAGTAATAAATTGTCCACCCATCGGAGGCCGTTGCATTCTATTGGTAGCTTTCGATGTATTACAGGTGTCACTTGTTTTCATAAGCTCATATAGGTCACTTGCCATTCCTGGCCAGAAATACCTCACCCTTAACCTTGACAATGTCTTATGAATTCCTCCATGGCAGGCCGAAGGGGAAGCATGTACACTCTGTACAAGTTCTTTGCGCAATTCTGTTGGCACCCACAACTTCCAAGTTCCATCCTCATTAGTCAGGTTGCCGTTTCTAAACTCAGTCTTGTATACAAAACCGTCAGATATGCACAGATCATGTAACTTATCCTGCCCCACTTCTATGGGTTTCACCAGTTTCTGATATTCTTCAGTTAAAAAGGATTCCGACTTGAGATCGATATCAGACTGTCATGACTCCAAAGAAAGTTCTTCCAAAAACATTCGTGATAGAGCATCTGGAATTACATTTTGTGAACCTTTGCGATGTTCTATTTCGAAATAGAAAACCTGTAGTCTTAGACTCCACCGAGCCAGTCTGCCAGATAAATCTTTCTGGTTCACGAGCCACTTCAAGCTAGCATGGTCTGTTATTATCGTGAATGGTAATCCTTCTACATAGGCCCCAAACTTTTTCACACTCAAGACTGCTGCATAACATTCTAACTCTGTGACACTGTAATTTCGCTGCGCCTTGTTTAGTTTAGCTGACATGTATTCAATTCCCTAACGCATGAAGACTTTGCATCAACGAAAAGCAGAATACGAAGTAATACGATTTTTTAGTTGTCCCTTCATAGTGGTGGTGTATTTGTTTTAGGTTTCTGATCGAGGTTTCTATCGAAACTTGATTTTTCAGACCCAGGCTGGTTTGCATAGTGGCCCCCATTCTTTGTCGGTTGGGTCTCAAATGCCTCTATAACCCATACAGGTGGGTCATCTTGTTCCCCTTGTGTCGAGACTGGTAGCTGTATTTCGCTCACGGCTCTATATTTAGATTTATTCTCCTTTAACATTTTGTCAGCATGAATGCATTCTCTTTTAAACTCAGCCAAATTTTAAAATGAAGTTGAAAATATTAGGGTTGCGAAATTGGGTTTTATATTATTTTTTATAATTGAGGCCAACTCTCTTTCCTACATTTTTCTTCTTAACTTGAATGTTAAATTGTGAATGTCCGAATGTTTTTGGTCCACAATTTTCCTAATAATTTCATAGTCACTTTCTGGTGACTTAAATTGTTCTAGCAGCTCCTTTTTTAACTGAAAATAATCGAATGCACCGTCTCGCGCATGATCTTTCAGTACCTGCCAAAATCACTTTGAAGCTGGACCAGGCACTAGACAATGGAAATCTGTCAACAGTTGATGATACGGCACTTCATACTGCTCCCACATACGCTCAATCCAAAAGATGAAGCTTTCCACCGTCACATCTTTAGCAGAGCCGTCAAACTTAATATGACATCTTCCCAAATCGATGTCTCTTCTGGACTTATACTCATTTCTTCAAAGAGCATTGGCCCCCATCGATGTCTTAAACCTTGAGAAACTGCGCATTCACTGCAGACGTTGTGGAAACCCGCAGGAAAAAGAAACCATAATACATTTTCTCTGTGATTTTCTCTGCCCGGCTTTAGCGTCCAGAAGATATAGGTTCTTAGCAAAATACTTCTTTGATAGTTTATCAGACTGCACAACGCTAAAGACGAAAGACCTATTAAATTACCTAAATTCGGCGGGATGGATTTAGTCTCTACTCCTCTATACTATGGTTCTTGCGACGAATGAGGTAGCAAAACGGCGAAAAAACGCTAATTGAGGTACATGGAAGTTATCTAATGACCTGCCACTGCAACCAACCAACCATATAAGAAAATAATAAATTATATACATATTCAAATAATAAAAAAAATAAATAAAATATAAATTTTCTATTATTTACTTATAAAGTGTTCATTATATTTTTTTCTGCGATTTTTACATTTAAATCAACATATGATACGCAATTATTTTCTTTGTTTTGCTTATTTTCGCACTTATCGCCAATAAAGTGCCATGGTTGCCAAAATTCACAAAACAAATTTGTAACTCTTGTTGTTCTCAAAACAGGTGTCTCCTAAGCAATTCAGAAAAAGAGAGTTCTATTCTTGGGAATAGAGCGTGAATAGAGAGACTTGTTCCCTGGGAGTATACAGAATTGCTATGCACATCTCTTTAACATGACTTATTTGTTAACATTACAATATTACCATTATTTATTTTTGATATTACCGAACTTCTAGATTGACTAATAACAACTTAATTATTAATGCTTTAACGTAAGTTAAAATTCCCGTATTTCTAAAATTCTAAATTTCAGACATATGTTCGTTGCTTTTGCTCTAATTGTTGTTTTAATTCTTCTATTATCTAGAAGTGTTTGCTTTGAAAGTCGTATATTTTTTAAGAGAACGGTAAATATTTTTTTTTTTTTCATCTTTTAACCTGCTCTTCTTTGGTTTAAGTTGCCTGTACTGTAGAACACTGCAGCCGAAGAATATTGGGTCTACTGTAAATTTCAACCCAATTTTTTTCACAGGTAAGCCTGAACGAGCCTGTTTTAGTACGATCAAATTAAAAATTCAACATTTATGATCTATATTAGGACCTCGTCTTGTTCCTTTTTTCTGATTTTTAAATTTACTACTGCTTCTTCTTTAATGAATTTTTTCTTATCAACCCACATCAAAAATGTAAAAAACTATTCTGTACCTGCACGAAAAATTATAAAATTTTTTTTTCTTCATCTACCATTTTTTTTTTACTGTTATATTTTTGATTGTTGGTCCTGATGCGTTAAGCTCTACAGCTTTGTTCCAAAACTGAACAAATTCTTCTTTGCTTTCATTATGGAAACCGCGAATCGCATTTAACATTTAAATAAGTTAGAAAAACTGATCACTATTGGTAACTTACATATTAAATTAAAAATATTTTTTTTTTAACTAATCCCCCACACAACTTGTTTGGCAACAGTTTGGTAAGAAATTTCTCTTTATGACATTTGTTTAGAATAGCATATTGTTCAGAATAGGAGGAATGTGAAAAGAGAAAAAATCTATTCTTGACGTATGCATTTATGAAACATTTTTACGTTCAACTTCGATTAGCTGATTTTTTTTTAAATACATTTTTTTTAAACATAAAAACTATATATTTTTTTTAAAAAAAAAACTCTATAAAACACATTATATTATAAATTTATTTGTAATTCTTAGTTTTTTAATTTTAACTACATAAAAATAAATTGCTTGAGTTTTTAAAGTGATTATATGGTATGATTGATAAAAAATTTTTCAGGTTATTTTATTTAGCATGATGATCATATCATTATTACGCATTGAATACATTTGCAACAAAAAAACACAACAGTATTATATAGATATTAATAATTAAATAATATTTAAAAAAAAATTGCTTCTTTAAATCTGATGTCAATCTGATACTCATTTAAATAAACACAATTGACTAAAGAGTCATCTTACTATTATGAAAAATTATGACGCCATTAAAAAATAATTAGCTAGACATAAATATGTTATGTGGATACTTCAATTATTCACCTAATTATAAAACATCTTATAATACAACAGTAAACAACAACATTAAAAACTGAAATGCAAAATGCGACTTCTTACAGAATTTAAAAGCGGTTATTCTTAAATTGTGGTTGAAATCATGTTAGGTTTCCATATTTTTGTATTGCTTAATTACATAGACAAGATATTGTTGGAGCAGTTATTTGGTACTGTCTTTAATCACAAATCAGATGACAGCAGTTTTAATTTTTACATCAAATATATTTTATTTAAATTGAATGATTTATTATACTTTTATAACTCTTATAATCTAGTATCTTAATTATAGTATCATCAATTATCATATATTTGTTTTGTAATTACTTAAATTTTTTAGGTTTATATATATATATATATATATGTGTGTGATAATATATATATATATTTACAATTTTTTTTATATAATACGATTATTATCAACATAGATATTAACCTATACAAATAATAAAAAAGCGTTATTTTTAAAATAATTAATGTTAAGTCCATTCATCTATCAGTCAATCTCATGCTTAGCAAAAATTTACCATCGCTTTTTTAAGATTGAATTAATATTTAATCATCCACAATGGAGCAAACATATTTGGAAATGTAATCAAAATCGGTTTCCCTACCTGTTGGCCTAGTTTGATTTTGTTGATTTGGACGCCAAGTTGAGTTTTGAACTGAAGACGTATTTGCATTAGTTGTGATAATAGCGTTAGTAACTCCCCCATTACCATTACTATTATTTCCGCTATTGATATTACAATTAGGAGCACCAGTTACTTGAGTGTTACCTGCTATAGAGGTATTGCTGCTGCCATTTAACACAGTACTGTTAGCTACACTAACATTTGTGTTGCCCGATGCACTTACAACATTCCCACTGCTGGCATTTGTAGTGGAAATATTATTACTGCCTCCAACACCATTCCCTCCGCCACTGTTATTAGTGCTGGTACCGGCATTAGAACATGATTGTGGTATATGTTGTAAAATATTTTGAACTTCATTTTCACTAGGTGTTTCTACACAAATGGTGGTATTACCCAACGTACAATTATTAAGAGTCATTTGTGCTTTGTTTACTTCTTCACGTGTTGCATATTTACATAAAGCTATTCCTTGATTTAAATAAAGATGAAAACTGATGAGTGGACCATGTTGCATGCATAAGGTACGTAATGTCGATCCATCAATCTTGAACAAAAAATAATCATGCAGAAGATATATTAATAAATTATATTAAATTTAATACCTGAGAAGTTAAGTTTTTAATTAGTAACCAATTTGTATTCCAATTGGTATTTGTACCAGCCCAATTAGAATTAACATTTGATACTCCACGTGTTGTGCTACTTCCAACTAACCAGCCGTTTGCATTATTAGCTGTTGTATTCTGGTTTGCAACAATTGACATTCCACCACTGGCATTATTCTTGTTAGAACCTAATCCAGGTGGTGGTCCACGTGATGTTTTGTTAATAGGGGTTGCCCAAAGTTCTGAAGTTGCACACTGAGGTGCATTTTCAGACCAACTAAAAAATAGAAAAATTGAGTAATAAATTTTTATATTAATTCGTTATACAACACTTATTACATTACATAAGTATATTAATGTCTAATAAATAACGAAGAATTTCATTTCAATAGTATAAGTTCTACATAATCCAAACATGAAATATTTGCAAATAACAACAAAAGATTGCCGATGCAAGATCGCATTATGTGTGATCAAAAGTGAAATATAAAGTTTGAAATATTTTATTTTAAATAATATGAATGTAATATTTATTCCAATTCGTTTATATCAGAAATTATTCAAAGTAGTCACATATGCCTTTAATTCTAGTTTGCAGAGTAATCAATGTATCAATACAGGTATTCTTTCAATTTCTTCAAATTGATTTCAAAAGTGACTTAGTCAATTTATTTAAGACTGCATTTGCAATTTATTAGAAATATGGACTTACTGAAATATAAATACTGTTAAAATTAGGAAAAGCAACGAAAAAACTTGAAAATAAAAGCAACTTCTAATCTATGAAATTGTATGTTTGATGATTTATTATACTTATTTAAAGCTAAGATTAGTTTATAATCCACAATTTGAAACCACATCATATTATGCCACTAAATGAATATGTACTATGCCCCAAGAAGTAGCATCGTAGAAACTACTATCGCAAATGTAAAATTTTTGCAGATATTCAAACGGCAGATACACACTACATAGTATATACATCACCCTAGATAAAAAAAAATTATGATCCATTCCAGGGGGGCTTGATTTAATATTCAGCATTAAAAGAAGTAAAAGAAACAATATAACCGAGATTGGGATCTTAGAAAAACATAAATGTCAAACCAACAAATGCATGACAAACATATACACGCTTGTGTGGTGTACGGTAACAAATGGTTTTAAGACGTAGATTCGGTCATTGCTGAAACTAATGACAGGATATTACTGATAATTTCTACATTGTGACCGAAAAGTTTCCGGAAAATTTTAAATAAAACGCAAAATTCTTAATCTTCATCAATATTTATTTTATCTCCTTCAAAATATGCTCCATTAGAAGCGATACACAAATGCCAACGTTTCTTCCAATCATCAAAACATTTTTTATAGGCGCTTTCCGGTATGGCTTTGAGTTTCCTCTGCGAATTCTGTTTTACGTCTTCTATGGATTCAAAACGCGTTCCTCTGAGTGGTAATTTGAGTTTGGGAAACAGGAAAAAGTCACACGGTGCAAGATCAGGTGAATACGGGGGCTGTTCGATGGTATTTATTGAATGTTTGGCCTTAAAATCGTTGATAATGTTGGCTCGGTGCGAGGGAGCATTATCGTCATGAAAAATCCATGAATTATCCTTCCACAATTGAGGCCGTTTACGGCGGATATTTTCACGCAAACGTCTTAAAACAGTCAAATAATAGGCTTTATTGACTGTTTGTCCTTCAGGGACGAATTCATGATGCACCACACCACGAATATCGAAGAAAACAATCAGCATTGCCTTGATTTTCGAGCGACTTTGGCGTGGTTTTTTCGGTTTCGGCTCGTCTTTTCCTCTCCATTCCGATGATTGTTGGCTTGTTTGCATGTCGTACTCGTAGACCCATGTCTCGTCACCCGTTATGATGCGTTCCATGAAAGTTGGATCGGAATTGGCACGATCAAGCATGTCTAACGAGACCTGTCCACGATGGTGTTTTTGGAACAAATTGAGGTGAATCGGAAAAAGCCGAGCGTTGACACGTCGCATACACAAATTGTCCACCAAAATCAAACGAGCCATCTCACGACCGATGCCTAGCTCTCGTGCTATCTCTCTAACACTCACATGAGGATTTTTGAACACGATTTCCTTTGCCTTTTCAATGTTTTCGTCGGTGGTAGAGGTCGAAGGTCGTCCAGAACGCGGCATGTCTTCGACGGTCGTACGACAGTCCTGAAAGGCTTTGTACCACTCATAAACTTGAGTTTTCGATAAAACTGATTCCCCATAAGCCTTTTGTAGCATTCGCAACGATTCTGCACACGAAAATTCGTTCGAAACACAAAATTTGATGCAAACTCTTTGATCAATATTTTTTTCCATTGTTTTTTTCGCAACGCACTACTGAGGTGAACTGGTTTCAACAGCTGCCGTAAACGAACTGTCTGACAGATCGCGCTCATTTTTGGCATAGTAATTAAGGACAAGTGCTGCCAAACTACATAAAACTTAAAATATCGAAAAATATACAGCGCGCGAATTTTAAATGAGAATTTCCGAAAACTTTTCGGTCACAATGTATACCGTTATGTGTTTTCGTTTTCAAATATCTATTACTAATTCTGTTTATGAGGTATACCCAATGGCGTCTTACCATATTTAAGACACTCTTTTAGTTTTTCAATATCACAACTTTCGATTTTATGATTACCTATCAGAAATTACCTAGCAGAAAATAACAATTATTACAAAAATGTACAACAAAAATTTGTCTATATTTGTATTTGGGTATGTAGTAATCATAAAGGCTTTATATATGTGCCTTTTAAAATAAATCTCAAGAAATAATTAAATTTGCCCTATGTTATATAACAAAATAGTAGTTCTTTTATGTGTTCTCCTTTTCTACAAACAAATTTTTTTGACAGGGAAATATAAACCGCAATCAGGTTTGTAGGCAAAGAATTGATACTTTTTATTCAATAAAGAGCGTAATCACAAAATTCCCTTCGTATTTTTTATGATTAGTTAACATGAATTTTGGAAGTATACATGATCATATATAAAAACTGCCAACTTTTGCATGATAGCTATTAAAATTTTATAATGTTTGATTACTTATTTAGTTACAGGTTTTTTAGGATTCAACGCTATTTCATGCTTTGATTTGTCATTGGTTTCTAATAGGAAAAAATACCATAATAGCAAAGGTTCGCTGCATAAGTGCTACCAGGGCTCTGCTTTGTCAACAGTAATGGTAGAAAAGTGGTTCACTTAGTTAAAATACGGCCGTAATAACATTGATGCTGCTGAACACGAACAAATTGATCGCTCAAAAAAGATGTTGACACCGGAAAACATTAAAAATGTTCACAAATTCGTAACACTTTATTTAGGTCCACAAAAAAAAATCCAGTGATGACAAATATGGCATGATTTTGGTAACCAATATCACCAAAACTCAGTACATTTCTCACACAACATTTTGTAGAGTTTGTGGTACCAGCCTATTAAAACCAAATATATTCCACATTCATATCTTCAATTAGTAACATTATTAATTATATATTAATTAGTAAAAGTATAGGCCGATCACATAAATCAAATTATTTGAACATTTATTTTACTGTTCAAATTATCATTTCATCTTTAAACAACTATTTTAATTTGAGGGTTTTCGAATAGTAGTGAGTCACAAAATTTTAATTTTGTTAATTGGATTTATTTTGACCTGTTCATTATTGTCAATTAATAATTGTTACCAGGGTTACAACTGCGATTATTATTGCATATTATTACATTACTTTTTTTTGCACAGAGATTCCTATTTGGATATAAGTTTTCTTAATATTATTTTGCGATTACTATATCGAGACGGTTTAGTAATCGATCATTTTTTCCTATATAAATTTCATATTTAATTAACAATTAAATTTAAATAAATTTTATTTAAATTTAAATCAAATTTTATTTTTTATGTAAATTATGACGAAAGAAAACTCTTATACTAATAGAAAGGTTTTTGAATATTACTATTTAGTAAAATTAGGTACTAATAGGGTGTTATAAGTTTTCTTCCCGTCATAATTGACTTTATAAACTAAATTCAGGTAACTTAATTATTTTGAAAATGGAAAATTTAATACTTAATATATCGTTTAGTACAACGTTGTAATTAATATTACCAAGAAACAATATAATAAACAAAAATAACACATAAATATTACCTTGAAAAATTTTGACTATTAGGAGTCGGATTAAAACTCCATGTTGATGAAGATAAACTCAGAGGGGGTAAATCAGTCGGAGAGTTTTTACTAGCATTTGCAAAAATGTCAGCATCTTTTGGCGTCGGATTGATAGACAATGGGGATCTAGCAACACTGCCCGGTGTAATGCTAGGGTCGTCTTCTATATTTTTGATCTGTGAACCCTTAAAATTAAAATGTCTAGAACTTCATTTAAAAATGATATATTTTTGTTATTACCTTCCATGGTTTTCCAGGTTCGAATTCCTGCACTAAATCAGTGTATGCCGTTGCTGATGTTTGTGCAACAGACCAGTCTTTATTCTCGTTATCATTTGCGGAATCTGGCCAACCGTCTCCTATATTTCTTCCAGCGGACCAAGTACTATATATATGTTATATTTATGTATTTTCTTAATAAAATTGATTACAATTTTTTTAACTCACCCATCACTTTGTATACCTAGGGGGCCTATGTTATTTACATTTGCAGTATTTACAAGCGATTGTTTAGTTGCGCCTGGAGCGCGAGAAAAATCTGTGGTATCATTTGTTACATCTTTTTCTAATACTGGAAGTTTCCACTGATTTAGTCTGGATTGCTGACTTGGAGTACCTTGGTAACTGCCGGTCTATTATATACATAAATAAAACTGTATTGTATATTTTCTCTAATAAGTTATATGTTCAATTTACTTTGCTTAAAGTCATATCCGAAAAACTACCCTGCAAAGCGTTAATAGCTTCATGTTGTCCTCTTAAATACTCAGTATTGTTTACATGCGCTATAGGATGTTGAGAAGGTTGTTGAAGGCTCTGTTGTTGTTTAATATAAATTGCTTGTTGTGTGTTTATTTGGTTTTGCAAATTTTGTATTTGCTGCTTATATTTGGTAATTGCAGTATTTATTTGTATATTGTTGGTGTTGCGCGATAATGTCTGCTGAGCCCCTTGCAAATGCTGTAATTTATAAAAAAATAAAACATAATTAGTCTAAATACGGCATTACAATGACGTTTAATACCTTTATATTACTAAGCAGTTGATTGAGTAATATAAGCGTAGCAGGTGCTAACGGTTGATTCAATATTTGGTTAGATAAATAACCACTATGTACAGCTAATTGAATTTGCTGCACCAGCATACGTAGTTGTTGAGCAGATGGTCCATTGTTAGTATTGGTAACAGCATTAACACCTGTTGGTACGTTACTAGCCTGCGCAAATCCTACTGAAGTCGCATTAACAGACTGAGGCCCACCAGATGTAAGAGTATGCTGACCTTGATTTAAGAAACTCTTCATTTGCATTGGTTGCATAGAATTTATGCTAGACAAATTGGGATTGTTTGCCACATTCGGTACAGCAGCAGCACCCATATTATTCAAAAGATTGTTCTAAAATATTATATAATAGTATTGAAAAATAAATAAATAAAATTCATTTTTGATACCGGAGGGAATGACATTGAAGGTTGAGTTGCCGGTGCTGGATAACGTCCATGAAAACCGCTAACATTACCGCCAGTGTTAGTTGCATGTTCGCCATAGGTACTAAGACTCTCATCATGACGTCGCCACCCACTACTATCAAGGCCTATTGATGCATTTGTACGCAATACTTCAGCAGCCTCCTCAGCAGACACGTTTCCTGCCAAAAGTACTCTCTCGACGTCGTCCTTTTTATATCCAGCATCTACTAATAAGCGAAATTGCTTGCTTTGCTTTATCATATCGACACTTAAATTTGTTACGGCCATGTTAACATTACCGAGTTTTTGATGCGTTTTACCCACAATTGGATTGTGGTTAGACCAGTCATTGTTTAAATCGTTGCTTTCACTAGGCCCTGAGCCCCACCCAGTCGTGCCCGTTGGCATTTTATTTTGATTTTTATTCCAAGATGGCGCAGAATCATTCCAAGCATTGACATTACCAACATTAGTATTAATTTGTTGCGTTTTTTCATCAACCCAGTTTGATCCTGTGTTCGTATTCATACTATGATTACCATCATCACCCCATGAATTAGTACTACGCCCAGTGCTATTCGGATGGACGCCCCACATAGTATTATCTGTTTTATGTTGTGGAGGTCCAACTGCAGCCAATCGTGTTTGAGGACCAACATTACCTATGTGATTAGTAGAATTGACAACGGCTGCTGCCATGCCTCCAGATTGATTATTGCCTAACCCAGTGCCTCCATTTCCACTTAATCCAAGAACTACTGAATTTTGTGTATTTTGAGTTATTGTACCTCGAATTAAATGACTTCGATTTATAGGGTCGGAAATATCCTTCCAATGCGCAGTGCCACCAGGAACACGAGCTTGTTGACTCCATAGCGATGTCCCATCATCATAGTTAGTTAGATTTCTACGCTGTGGCGGTGGTGACGGTTCTTCCCAACCGGTAACAGATTTAGTTGGTATTGAATTCATATCTTTTGCACCCACGACTGTCTGCGCAACACCCCATTGAGTATTTACATTTCCTGTAACTCCAGCAACGACATTCATTGAACCCACACCGGGCCCTAAATTTGATACAGTGTTATTTGATACAACGGTTGGTCCTATATTACTGCCAGTATTCACAGCTTGCCCCACCATTTTATTTATACTAGTCATTGGATTATGAGTTACTGGATGATGTTGACCCCACATTTCAGAATTTCCATTCAACCGACCAGATATACCACGTGGATCTCCACGTATAGGATCACGAGGATCTATCATTCGAATGTCACGAGGATCACCAGCAGATGCCGCTCTTAGAGGATCTCGTGGATCAACATTTCGCATATCCATTGTACCCATAATTGGACCGCTACGTAAGTCTCGTGGATCGCCCCAACCATTTCCAGGACTATTTCCATGATTTATATTACTAGCGGTGCCAGATACTGCAACGTTGGTAGAGCCACTATTACCTACAAAGGAAACTGACATAATTTTTAATGAAAAATAGTAGCTTAGGCTTGATTATATTTACCAGAAGATACACCTAAAGTCCCAGTTTGTGCACCTACAGCAGCAGTATTACTATTAACTACGCCTACACTTACAGAAGATTGGCCCCATTGAGAACTACTACTTGCTGAATTCCCTCCCAATCCAGTTGCACCTACATTAGCAACATTACCACTATTGGTAGATGCATTATTATTTGAACCAGTCCAAACGTTGCTGCTATCAACACCATCATCATCTTCACCCCATGTTCCTCCTAAATTCGATGAAGGTGTATGCCCCCACGGAGTTTTTTGAATAGGTTGGCTAGGTGGCTGTCCACCATTTCGTAAATTAGATTCCCATAAATCAGTGCCGTTATTAATAGTAGGTTTCCATAATGGTGTCCCTCCAGACGGGTCTTTATTAACTGGTTCAGGTGAGCTTGGAACTTCCCAATTGGTATCTTGATTTACATGTTGACATCCCCATCCATCTTGAGAAAATAGTGCTTCACGCATTGTATTTAATTGTTCCAGTTGGTTTTTAGCTGCTGCAGCTGAAGTTCCACCTCCAATTAATCCAACACCACTATTACTGTTGATGCCATTATTATTTGTAATTATTCCGCCACCACTGTTACAATTATTATTAGCGCTGTTACTACTATTATTTACACCACTATTGTTGTTATTTTGGGGAGGCTGTATTAAAAAAGAAATTACTTTTATAAACATATCATACAAACACAAGAAAAAATCAAATACAAACTAAAACTTTTGATATATACGAGTTTACAAGTTCATTTTAAGTTAAAATATAGTAGTTACCCTAATGAGATATATATACAAAAGTAAAGAAATACGGTAAAAACTCTTTTAACAGACACCTCTCTTGATTGAACAATATTTTTAAAATCAAATTTTTTTATTATTATTCAGAACAACGTATACCCTTTTGGGTGGACTCTTGGCCGGACGTGAGCTCCTAAGTAACGAACAAAATAAACAATCGACTTAAAAAAATGTTAAGACAATCAGAATTAATGAACATTGGGGACTTTCCACATAAAAGGTGTTGTACTTTTCACGTTCGTACACTCATTTTCCATTAATTCCATTCAGTTTTGGCACGTTGAATTCCAAACATTAGAATGGCAGGGAGAAAAATCATAGTATAAATAAAAAAAATTGAAATTGTGAACGCATACGAAAAAAATAATTTGTAATAAATTAATTTTTCAAAATCAGATTCAGATTGGCATTAAAAAATGAAGCGTACCACAGAGGCAAACTATCGAAAAAAAGGCATAGTTCGTTTTTTGTGCAAATATGACCAGAGTGAAAAAAAAACCATTTGTAAGTGGGAAAGCTACCTCAGAGCGTTTGCATAATTTGAAATTAAAAAATTACTAATAAATTAGCACTCAAATAAGAAAGCACGGATGAAAATCGAATTGATGACACAGTGACCAATTTAAACGAAAAATGGAGTAACAAAAGAGAAAAACACCCTCGTGATCTACAATTAAAAAATATTAAACTAATTTTTCCACCAAAGAACATAACTTCTTCATCACTTTGCCAGCCTTTAGATCAATGAGTTATTCAAGGTTTTAAGATAAATTATTGAAGTCTTTTAATTAAACATATATTGTGAAACATTGAGTTCAGTTCAAGAAATAAATTATAAATTATCTTAAATCTTAAAGAACTAACATATATATATATGCTATTGATCTAGGTTATTCATATATAGCAATGAATTTCTGTTAATACGGTTTAGTGCAGTTGCAGAATATAAATGTCGAACATGACGATTTGGATGAGATTTGAGTGTCTCTAGAAATTTAGATGTAATTCGCCAATATTATTTCTGTGTTAGTAACAATCAAACTGTGTAGCGAAAAAACTTCATATCGACTTCTGAAAATTCTGCGTATAAATCAAAAATAACGAATAACTTTATTATATTTTTAATGTGTCCGGAACACAGAGGTTTTTAAAAGTTGTATCAAAAATCTTTATGGATAACTTTTACAATTTATAAGGAATGATTTCATAAATCATTTATGCTACAAATTAATTATTATATTAATTAGAGAACAACAGCAACAGATTTTAACGTGATTTTAAATAAAGCATTATCGACAATTAATGAAGTAAACCAATAAAGTATATTATTAAATAATTCAATGCAATTATGCAAGTAGACGACTATGTTTTAATTACATCATATCGATAAATAAAGTAACACCTAATTTGATAAAAATGAGTACATACGAATTCAAAGACGTAAGTAAATGCAAATAATTAGGAGTGATTTGCAACGGTAAAAACACAATGATGATGAATATTCAAAGCTGGATATAAGTTCTACTACAGCATAAAAAATTTATGCTATCTGAAAACGTATCAAGAGCTGTTATATAAAAAAAATTTAACTGTCAGTAGTAATTTAATGGTGTGAATAGTGGATTCATTAGATACAGAAATAAGCAAGTTAACAATATGTGGAAGAAATATACTGTGAAAAATATTTGGAACGGACCAGAAAAATAGAATATATATTATCTTATCCCTGGAATTAATCCACTAATAGGTGGCATATAAAAGTAAACCTTTTACGTATGCCTAAAGAAAGGACATTTCCACAAATATCGAATGTAGAATTTAAAACAAGAAAACTTGGAAGTCTTAGTCTTCTTGGATGGTGTGACAGTATGCGACCGAGTCTACGTTCCGGAGCTACTCGTCGTTATCGATAACCAAGTACCGTTCTCAACACCTGATAAAGGAACTACACAAGCAGATTACAACAATAACAAAAGGCGAAAACTATACAAGAATAAATGGATTATATGAAAAAAGTTTAGGTCCTAAAATTTTAAACTGGAACATTTTCAGGTTACGTAAAAAAAATGCCGATAAAAGAATTTATTTTTGATAAACAACGCTATCAGCTGAGTGAAATAGCAAAAGTTACTCCATTAATACAAATCAACCTAGTCAGTATAACAAATTGTACCTTAATATTCAGAAATCGGCAAAAATGCATACGGATTAGTTCAACAGAATGCAATATTAAATGATACTGGAATATCCAAGATATTGCATGAAAAAGTCAGTTCAGAGATAATTAAATACTGAATAAACAAATGAAGATTTTGAAAAAATATGAGTTTATAAATTGAAAATTTAGTGATACAAACACTTGATTTTCATGCATTCAACCCTCATGTTGATTCCTCTTTGTCGACCATTTATAATTTAAGTTAAAATATTTTTATGAATGACAGTCAGAGAAGACAACTCAATAAAGCAATTATAATCGTTAATCAAACTCTGCTGGATTGTGCTGAATGTGAAAACGTTAATCAAAGTGAAGAAAAAGCAGAAAAAAAAAATAACAATTTTTTTAAATGAAGCACTTGTAGTTTAATGAATGCTACCTCATATATTTTATCTTAATAAAAAAAATAAATTATTAATTTTATTTTTGTTTTTATATATCAAATGTTTTGCCCTTCTGACAATAATATAATAAAATAAAGATTCTATTTGTCGCATTAGGGTTGACCATTCATAAACGTGAACTAATTATTAATCGTGAACACCCTTGATTTTAACGTTACCCCGAGTGCCGTGTATACATATATTTTTCTTACCATTCCAGCATATTGGCATACTGGTAAATTAGCTGCTAGCATTTTACGAGTTTCTCCAAATGTTAAAATTCGATGACTCAAACAAATGTTCGTTGTTGTCGTGCATCAATATGTAGTATCCATTTATAAATATATTGAAACTGATATTTTTATATGAAGTATTACTTTTACAATAGTTGCGTAATTTTTAATACGACCAGCACGCCTCAATAATTTTTCTTAAATTTTTAAGAATAAATCACCGTTTATATGATAAATGACTTGAAAAAGAGTAGAAGTACGTAATATCACTAGAATTAAAAAAAATATAGCATTAATAAAATATAATATTAAAGACAGTAACTTAATTTAGTATACATTCATTAAAGTTATTTAAATATATGTTTTATCTAAAACCATATGTTTCCTCATATTTGATCTTCACAGAAAAAAAAATCGTTTTTGATTACAAGCGTACAGTAGCTCACAGTTTATTTGATGCAGACAAATACTTATTTTACTCCATTCTTTCTGTAAAGCGGTTTTTAAGTCAAATTTGTTACGAATGTCATATTTTCTAATATATTTCTTCAAAAGGGACTACACATTTTCGATAACGATTAAGTCTGGCGATTGTGTAGAAGTTTGAAGAAAGTGTAGACATTGCCAAATTAACCAGGATCGTACTAATGCTGACTTGTCATTAGGGTCGTTGTGTAGGTAAAAACAAAAAATCATCTGCAATCTTCAATTTCGTTGCACTTTGAATCAAATTTTCTTAAGCAAGTATGCAAACCAAATTACCTATTCCATTTGAAGAGATTCATGCCGAAACCATAACATGACCAACTTCGCGTTTTACGGTACCACGTAAATTTTATGGTTTCAGCTCAGAATTGACCTTGCGTAATACGTAAGATCTTCCATCTTATTCAAATAAGTTTATTTTAAATTCGTCTACAAAAAGTACAGTTCTCCAAAATGCTCGAGTCTTGTTTAAATGCGCTTGTTCAAACTGTACCTTTTATTTCTATTTTTTGCACTTATAAAAGGTTTATTTCGAGCTCTTCTTCCATTAAAATATAATTTTCTCAATATTCTTCGCGCGATTTCAGGATGACAAACCTTTTTTAAATCTTTTCTTTACAGGTCTGCTAACTTTGGAGTGCTTATTATTGGATTCTTTTGAATTTGTTTTAGTAACCATCTCGATTCTTTTACTGTAAAAATTTTATTGGGACCTCTCTGCGTCCCTTTTTTCCACACGATTTTTATGTACAAAGTGTTATATTACGTTGAGAAATTTCCTATCTAAAATACTAAATTTCGCTCAAAAATAAAATTTCAATGTTTTTTTTTCTTTTTTCTTTTTCTAATTCTGTGTACTTTGTTTTTTTAATTTTGCAAAATATTGTGAAAAAAATAAAACTTCAAAAAATTTTTGCCTGCAACAAATAAGCTGGTAGCCACTGTATATCAGGTTAAACATTGCGTAAAGAATAGTACTAACCTCCGTATCGTATGAAAATTCGTATGAAATCATATGAAAACAATTTGTCAGTCAAAATATTGCAGAAATTTTCTTTTATATGTAGATTTATGTCAAATTTTCATGCGAAATGGATGTTAGTACTAAACTTAATGCATTGATACTTCCTCCACATTACTTTGTTTACAAATCGAAAGTCAATGACCTGTTTTTTTGAAAGTTTTATTGATTAAAGTATTACTTCTGAAATTAATATTTTAATACGGAATAATCTAAACATATATATATATTAGGGTGCCATTAAGGTATATGGGCAATTTTTTTTTCGTAAAATCGGTTGACGGCACCTCCCAGATCCGTTCATTTTACTAAAAAAAATAATCTGTGTAAAATTTTAGTTCAATTGGATAAGTGGAAATGGTGCCCCAAGAGCCTCAAAGATTGAAAAATAACGATTTATTCCATAAAATTCATCTTTGATTGCTTATATCTCCGACATATTTAATTTTACATAAAAATTGTCTTCCTAAAACTTATAGATCTATTAAAAATAAACAAGTTACTTATAAAAAGTTTTTCTGTATTTAGTCGGAAGGTAGTCGGAAGGAGCCAAGTCTGGTGAATACGGCGGGCATTGACGGTTTCACCAGTTTTAGGAGCTCGTGGTACACCACACCTTTCTGGTCCCACCAAACACACAGCATTGTCTTCTTGCCGAATCGATCTGGTTTTGCAGTCGATGTTGATGGTTGTCCCCGATTAACCCATGATTTTTTCCGTTTAGGATTCTTAAAATAAATCCATTTTTCATCGCCAGTAACAATCCGATGCAAAACCGATTTTCTTACGTGTCTTTGAAGCAAAATTTCACAAGTGTTTCATTCAATTCATGTGGCACCCATTTTCCACAATTTTGCATCTTTCCCATAGCTTTTAAACGGTCAGAAATTGTTTGTTGTGCAACATTTAACATTTTTGCCATTTGCTTTTGACCCAAAGTGTCATCTCCATCCAATATCGTTTGCAATTCGGCGTCTTCAATCTTTTTTAGCGGTCTTTCACGTTCTTCATTTCTCACATCAAAATCATTATTTCTGAACCGTTGAAACCATCTTTTGCATGTTACTTCTGATAGAGCATGATCACCATATGCCTCGACAAGCATTCGATGCGACTCTGCACCACTTTTCTTCAAATGAAAACAAAAAATTAATGCTTTCCGCAAATCATCACTTTCTGGTACAAAATTCGACATTTTTAACACAATGAAAAAGTATGATGTTGTCTGTTCAATGACTTGATGTATACTAAATATATTTTACGCATGTCATAGCAAACAAACAAAAAGAAATAAAGGCTCGTTCACAACAAATGTTCCCTGTCGGAAAATTTGTATCTTTACGCTCGCATCATACCGGTACACCTGGTAAACATACAGCAGTGACGGCTGCTGTACTATGCTCTTAGGCAACTTCGAACACTACCACAATCAGCAGACCTTAACCCAATAGAACATCTGTGGGATTATATGGAAAAGAAGATTCGCCAGCACAAGATTTCCAGCAAGAATATGTTAAGAAACGTAAATAAACAGGACACTGCAAAGCTGTTGAGTCCATGCCTGTTGAGACGCCTTAAAGAGGTTATTAAACGTGGAGATTTTCCAACAGGCTATTAAATTCTAGATTTCTACTAATTTGAATTGTTTTAATTTAAATATTAAGAATTGAACGCAGACTTTTTCTACTTCAAAATTTGTTGCTTTTGCATATAATTGTATTTAATTTTTCAAAATTCATTGTAGCTTTTTTTTGGATAAAATAAATGTGAAAACAGAAAAAATAAAATAAGTCATGCTAAAATTAAGAAAAATTTTGTGTATGTACGCAGATTTTTTCTATTATTTGTATATTTACTAATTAATTTCATTTCATTTTTTTTATTTAATGTTTTTAATTATTTTACTTTGTTTTTTTTATTCCTTTACATCTTTTTTATTATTAATTATTTGTATAAAAACAGTGTGCAAGAATCAAGAGTTCCTTCATCTACAAGAAGTAAGATCAACAACTTCTTTATAACGTTATCCCTGTTGATATGCCAATTGCCATGATCCATAACTTTTATTCGAAATAAAACAATTTTTCGCACAAAACATACCATGATACTGCAGAATAAGAATACAATCATTATCACACACATCACAATCATGGCTTTTATAGGTGATATAAAAAGAGCTTGCGTTTTTGAAGAGCTGCACTTTCGAATGCTAGAATGTTTCATTTGTAGTGTTTTGTCAATTGGCAATTGCAGTATTGCAATATTTAGAGGTTTTAGTTATTGAAAATATACTATTTATATAGGATATTTCTGTGAGAATAAAAACCTCAAATTTTCTGTCTAATTGGATTACTTTAGTTTATTTGAATGCTGTAGTATTTTTTGTTTAAATTATTTATAGATTCAATGTGGATATTTTTCTTTGTGCTCAAAACTTGTTTTTGGAGTTATATAGAGTTAATATATCCTTTTAAACTGTAAGCAACTTTGAAATAGATAAGAATTAGTTGAAATGCCAGATTCAATGGAAAATTCTTAATGTTTCAAATTGGTTATAATATAACATTAAGAACAACAGGTTACTATGTATGGCTAATGAAATATACTCAAGAAACTTCTGAGAATTTGGTGACACTCGTTTTTAAGGTAGAAATGTATCTATTATCAAACTGATACCAAGTTCGACCAAGAAAAAATAATGACTTGATGAGACAAGTCACTTTATATGTTACTAAACTAAGTGTCATAAATTATGAAATACACTTCTGATAGTTAGCCTCTACTTTGAGATTGATTATATTATTTTTCATTGAATTTGACATGAAACGTATGAACGTATAATTAGCATATTTTAAAAATTACTAATGCGTTAACATCGTATTTATATTTATTAATTAGAAACACTGTTTAGAATCAATATATTAGAGTAGTATAATAGACTGATGTGGTAGTACTTATGCACTTTTGCTAGTCATGATACATTAGCAGTCGTACAGTACTTTACAGAGTTCAAATCATCAACAGATCATAGACAGTTCCAGTCAACAGCTAGCGTTGTAACCAACAGGGTATGGAGCAGCAAGCTACAGCTAAATGCTATTATTCTGTAGATAGAAATATGTTGGCTTAGTCACTCACGACATATTTACGCTCAAAATATCCGAAGCCTATGCAGCACAAAGCTATATTGCGTGCACAGATCGACAGTTAAACACCATACTTCGATATTACTTTGTTTGGTTTTACATTCATATGGCATTGTACGAATTATCTTTCCATTACTAGATCCACCAACTGTAGGAGTACTTAAACAAGGTATAAGCGAAGCCACGACTACACATTCGAGACGTGAACATCAAGTTCCTACTTGATATCCACTTACACTAAAATAAGCAAAGTTAATAACATCACAAAATAAATTACAAATCAACGAATGACATAACGTAGAAGTGGTCATATAAATTTATTGTGTAAAAATTTATGTAGACGTTTGTTGTTTTGAAGTCTTCGAGACTTCAGAAAAAAGCGAAAAATTAGACAAAAGAGATAGTAAGGGATAGATAACTACCAACGAAACACTCCATAAAGCTTTTTTACTTAACGATTTTTAATATCGAACTTATGAGTTCATAGTTACAATTACTAAATTCATGAACTTGATAAAACCACCAATAGCCTAACAGACATAGTTTTATAACCATAAAAAACTATACCCTGCCTATGTTTAGATGTGAAATGTAGAACCGTCCTCTTTTGAAATCTATCTTCGAATTATAAATTCATCAACTTCTAACACATTAAAAAAAATCAGTAAAGTTTATTATAGGCAAGAATTTTCCGTCCTCTATATGGGGACATTATCTCCAAGACCCCCATTGCCTAATAAAGCTTTTTACAGCCACCCTCCCAACTTCATTCTTCAAACGATGAATCTTGTTATTTTAGTATCTTGTTTATTTTAGTTCAAGATATAGCCACATACTAAACAGTTGTCACGAAATATGTGCCCCAACTACACCTGTAGTCCACATGACTTCAGGCCGCTGATAAGGCAAGAATACTTTAGCTGAATATAAGCTAGGCTTAACATCCCTACTTATACGCTCTCTCTTACTTGATTTTTCCTCATCTTAATATATTGTGTTATGTAGTCTTGTTAACCTTGGGTGTACTTCTTTTAACATCGGCTTTTAATCTCAACAATAACACGACGCATAATTGAACAGCTGATTAGTGATATAACTAAATTTATTAAAGCAGTTTTCGAACTACACAATAAAGAAGCTAAAAAGGAAAATGAACTCAATCAAATAAAGTAAATAATTCGAAAGTTAAATCATTGCAAATTAAATGCTAGACTAATCTACTTCTAATGACACAGTCCCAAATTTCAATTAGAACAAAATATGATGCATAGTAGTAAAAAAATGGTGAGAATGCAAAAAATAAAAATAGCCAAAAGAAAACAAGTTTTGTTTATTTATAAGAAAGAATTGTTTATAGTAATTGACCAATTAGCCTTATACGACACAATATCAGAAGAAAAATAGTAAATAGTAAAACAGCAAAAAAAAAAAAAATAAAAAAAAACCTCTTAACAAAATCGTAATATAAGAAGTTTTCTAATACATATTCAATGGACTAAAAATAATTTTCCATTTTTTAATCACAGTTTTTCTGTAATCAGTCTCTAAAAAAAGAGCTACTTACTGCATTTTACTAGCTTGCAATTTGCTAGAACATAGAAAAAAAAAAACTTAAGTTGTTACTGAAAGAGTTAATTGGATCGAATTTAAGGATATTGGACTATATTTTGTTAAACAAATAAAGTTTATAGCAACGTTTAGGAATCATTCCCTGCGTTCAAAAGATTTACTTAGGACACATCATATTGTCATTCATCTAAAAACTTCGACTAAGAAAGTTATTTGAAAGTTATTTGATTTATTATTTTATTACTATTACTATTATTATTACTATTATTGTTATTATTACTATTACTATTATTATTACTATTATTGTTATTATAACTATTATTATTATTACTATTATTATTGTTATTACTATTATTATTGTTATTACTATTATTATTATTATTACTATTTATTACTACATATTTCGTTTTAAAATTCTAAAAATATATTTTGTATTATAACTTTAAATCTATATTGGAATTTATAATTAAAGTAGTACATAGCCTATGCGGTAATTATTTTTAAGTTTAAGTCAATACAATATATATATTTTCAATATTTGATCATACTTATTTAGTAAGAAATAAACCTAAACCGATTTAAACAATTTGTAGTATCCACCAAAGAGGAAAGCAATGAACTGTAATTCATCCTTAAATGTGATATACAATTTATGTATACAAACACAGCATATATATAACTGGAAATATTTTTATATATGCATAAATTTTATGCAAAGCAAATAAATTTTTTTTATACGTTTTAAAATTAGTATTAATTTGAAAAATACATATTTTTTCAATTTAACAAATTTCCTGCATACAACTTTTTTGTAAAAATACGCACACACACATGCACACTGATAATCGTTCGTCATTGACGCAATCACCTATTATAAAACTATATACACAATTTACAAATTGCTAAAACATATAGTAAAAACAAGTTTGTGGAATTATTTCTTTTTAAATTCGCCAAAACTTAAATTCTATTGACATTATTCTATTTTACAATTATCACATATGCAAAACGATGAAATTGTAAAGTATGCATGCATACTTAAAAATTTTCTTTCATACATTTCACTTCTTTTTTTTCTCGTCGTTTCTCGTTTTCAAATCTGTTGTATATATTATTATAAAGTCAATTTAATAAGACATGAAATAATTTGCCATTTCGTTAATTATTTACATATAGTATATTCCATTTCTTATGCAGTAATTACTTATTTAAAACCATTATATCCATATTCAAAATTTTTAAGCAAACAATATTGAAAACGACTACGTAGTCATAAACTAGATAGTAAATATCAACCAATGAGGTTACCACCTCAATTAAAATGGCATTACCAGAATTGTCGATCAATTTATTGTTTTTTAAGTTCACTTCTAGTTATTTAAAACACGTGCATGATATATTATTAATAATTAATAACTTGATTTAAATTGATTAATATTTAGTAAAAAATTCACGCGATCATAACTTTTGCTTGCTGGAGCTTTATGTAGCAATGGCGGCCATGTTGCTTTTTAACGATATATTAATCGGAAGTGTTGCCATTTTAAAGAATTAGTAACATTTAATTTATTTGCAACTAATTTACATCTTGTACAGCAATATGTACATATATAGAACACACGCGCATATATACATTCATATATATATGTATCTATATAAATATATCTACAAATATATACATATATATTTATACGTATGCATATATACCTACAAATAAATAAATATATATATATATATATATATATATATACATATATAAGTATACATATATGCATATCCTTATTCTGCAGTATATACTTGGCAGTTTTAAATGTGTATATATATTAATACATTTTTTGATATGATTCTAATACACATAATGCATTCCCAAAGGGGAGAGGCAAGGATTTTTAAACTACAAATTTTACACAGGTCAAGCGTCCTAACATTTTATTAAAGTTATAAATCATATTAAAGATAATTTTTTTAATACGTACATTTTCACAGTTAATTATAAAACACAACAAACAAATACAAGTAATAAGTTTTCACACAAATTCTGCATTCTTTTTTGTTTTTGCACTACGCTTTCACCAATTAGAGTTTTTAGTTAATTATTTATTATAATTATTTGGAGCCTTAGACTGAATTTACAAGATGTTTCGCATTTTACAGTTTGGAAATTTAATCGATATAGTCACACAAGATCTATCAAATACATGAATTCATGCGCTTACTTACCCTCAATCGTGATGTTTATAGTAAGTTAAATTTTATGTACGTTCCCAACTTTATCGTTACACTGCCAATCTTGTAGCAGATTTCAAATAAAACATTTCACATTTTCATCATATAAGAAATTTATTCACAAATTTATGAAACTCTCATCAAATACTTTCAAATCTTGTCACATTGCTTCTCAATATTTAATTCGTTGGCACAAGGAACAAAAAGTACCAAATGAAGAGGCGTAAGATATGTGCATCAAATACAGGGTATCAAATAAAGTCTAAGCAAAAAAATATTTAATTACTCCAATATCGAATATATAATATATCGATCTGCAGAAAATGCGTAATCGTTAAACTCACATTTTTCAACATTTGCGCAAACATTTAAGTCGAAAAAACATCATTTGTACTATATTTTTCATTCGCGACGTCAGCTTCAATTTCTGGTTCAATAATTATAGCTGGAATTACATTAAAATTAGGAGAATACGAATTTTTACTTGTAGTTTCTTTTATTTCGTTTGTTTAAAATTTAATTATATATACAGTTGGTCTCAAAAAGCTACGCAAAACTAAAATTTCTTCACATTTTCGACAGCAACAGTTACCAAATCTAACAGTAAATCGAACAATTATGTGATAATATTTAATTTGGAGTTTAAAATAAGCTAATAGAGTTCATTGTGTTGCATAGTTATAATTATTTCGTTAAGAAAATAGTTAAATTAAATATGGGTGTAAAATACATAAATGAAAATATCATTCAGTTAGTGTACTACCATTACCACAATGGAAAGTCCGCCAAAGAAATTTCGGAAATGTTGTCCGGAAAATTAAGAACGGTGTACAATATCATATCCCGTGCAGAAAGTGAAGGAAGACTTGATTATAAGAAGTCAACGGGCAGACCCAAAAAACTAACTATGAAAAATGAACGTAAAATAACGAAAGCCATTGATGAAAATCTCTACATAAGCACCAGAAAGATTGCGTCGGAGCTAAAAAACGACTGTGGTGTGAACATCTCACATCATACTGTCCGAAGAGTTATTTGAAAGAATAACTATTCGTGTAGAGGTGCTAGAAAAAAACCACTCCTGTCTGCACAAAACATTTTGAAAAGGCTTTTGTTTGCTACTCAGCACATTGGTCTGCCAATAACGTACTGGGCCGATGTAGTTTTTTGTGAAGAAACTAAAATAATGTTATATTGTCACGATAGTCCCACCAGAGTTTGGAGAAAACCACTTACAACACTAGAAGATAGAAATATTATTTCAACAATAAAATTTGGCTAATTGTCAGTTATGGTGTGGGGGTGTATATCAAGCAAAGGCGTGGGTGAAATAAGAATTTTCGAGGAAAATATGGATAAGAATTTGTACTTAGATATTTTAAAAACTGATCTCAAAAGAAGTGTGCAGAAATTCAATTTTTTTGACCCAAATAACGTAAATAAGCTTAAACTTAAAATGTATCAAGATAACGACCCTAAACATAAATCCTATTTATGCATGTCCTGGATGTTATATAACTGCAGCAAAAATAGTGACACCCCTGCCCAAAACCCGGACTTGAATCCTATTTAGAATTTGTGGACACATCTAAAGAAGAAGCAAAAGGAGCCCGGCATACAAAAATCAATTGGTACAATTTATCAAAGAAGAATGGACAAATATCCAACTGACTATGATATAAAAAAGCTTATTGGATTAATGAAAAATAGGTTAGAAGCTGTAATAACATAAGAGCTAAATGACGGCACACGAAGTATTAAATAAAAACATTTTGATTTTGCTATCTAAAACAAACCATTGAATTTATTTATTTAAAATTTTGCCGTTCTTTTTGAGGATGTAAGTATTTTGATGTTTTATTTTATGTCGTAGTTAATAACAGTAAATTGTTAAGAATAAATTTTTTCTGATCGTATTCTGGCTCAAAAATATTGACAGAATGATAACAGAAAAAAATAATGACAAGAAATATCACCACCTTATTGCTATTAAGTGTTGAAGTCGAAAATGTGAAGAAATTTTAGTTTTGCCTTGCTTTTTGAGACAAACTGTATATTAGAATAGGCGTTTCCGGTGGCTCGCACATATGGTAATAAACAGCAAGTTGTCGGCCTGTACTGGCTGAAATGTCGCAAGAGAATAATGCTATTTTCTCTATCTAGACCAGTAGTTGTTTACTTCGGTCAGTTAAAAAAAAATGTTATTAACTCAAGAAGCGAATTATTGTGAACCTTCATTGGAAACTCTAACGAATATTGCAATCATATGTTAAAAATGATATGTAAACAAAAATTCAAACAAAATTCAAAAATTTCATTGAAAATTGGGGAAAAAGCAAAAGTTGAATATATAAAATCTTAAAAAATAATGGAGAAATCGTAAGTAGTTTGTTCACAAAAAAGGTATTTTTGTGTTTTGTCTTGCGGTTCGCCAAGGCTTGTTCAATTTAGTTTAAGAAAAACTATTTAAATTAGTTAATTTGACTTTATTTATTAAATTTACTTTACTTTACTTTTATAATTGAAAGAAAAAATTTAAGAAGCGCGAACAAACAATTTTTTGGAAGTATGCTACACGAACAGACGCCAAGAAAGTTTTCTCGCCAATAACAACACTCGTGTTTTTTTTGACATTTGCAGTCACTTATGTTTTGGGTGATCACATGTTTTTATGTCTTTTTTTAAAGGTGACCAGTTGTGCGTTTTCGTGGTTAAACATAGTTATTAACAAGTTATACGGCATTTACACTGGCCGAAAATGGCGCATTTTGGTCAAAAATCGAAAATGAGAAGCGAATGGCTCATTCTTGCATACAAAATTTCAAGCGCAAATGAACCATTCCATCACATTCTGTATGAATGCGTCCCAACAACGTTCGCATGCGTTTCAAATATGTTCTAAATGCAAAGGAATACATTGAACATACCCTAAATAAAAACTCTTCATGGCATTTTGACAGTTTGAGAAAGCTGTTCTTGACATATGTACAAAAAAAGGTAAACAATTGTTTGGTGATTACATATTCTTAAAAACGATGCACGTCTTTTTAGAACGTCTACTTAAAAAAATGTACTTAATCGAAGTTAAAAATATGTTTCCAGTTTATATTGTAAGGTTTGAAGGTATATTTAACCTTCATTTTATATATATTTATATTTAACCTTCAGACCAAAAATCAAATCAACAGGTAAGTTGAAAAATTAGCTGTTTAAAATGAGAACAAACGAATTACAACGAATATAAATACTTTCAAATGGCTCATTAAAAATAAGCCATTTTCGGCCAATGTAAATGCCATATTACATATATGTATCTCTTTTTATTTTTATAAAAAATGTTATCTGCTTGATTTATGTGCACGTATGCAAGATTTGCTGATACCAGTGTCTCACTTAGCGAATATAGGCCCGTATGCATTTTTTGCCACATTTGCGAGCCACCGAAAACGCATAATAGCATTAATAGGAAGTATTTTGATTAAAGGTCTTTTCTTTTGTAAGCTTGTCGCAAAACAACAACATAAAATTAGCACTACTTTTGACGGCTTTTGTATTTTCATTAATCATAATTTTTTAATTTGAGTAAATTAAAAAGAATTGAGTATTATTTGTTAAATAATTGTTAACAGTTAATTGAAAATTTTGTGTGTATTTTCAAAAATCGTTCTCAACGAATTTGTAGTCTTGACAACTCTGCGATTTGAGCTGATTATTAGCTAAGCCGTTTGAAAAAGGTTGGACTAAATAAAGCAGAAATGTTGTTGTTATTTTTAAAATAAAAGATTGTTCTTTTGTGGTATACTTACAAAAGAAAAGGTCATAAATTGTTTACGTCATGTTGATTTAAAATCATTATTTGTTTATTCTTCTGTTGCTCATAAGGAATTGTTTTAGCTGAAATTGTAAATTTAACAAATTGGGACTTTAAAGATTAATAATTGGTTATGATTAACGTTTTTCAAATTAATTTTGTTTAGCTAATATTGGATATAATTAATCAAAAAAGAACTTTATTATTTAATAATGGATTATTAAATTTTATACTTTCATTAATTTTGTGATAAGTTCTGAAAATAGAGCTGCTCCTACTACTTTAAATTTATTTGGAGAAATTTGGTTAGTAAATAGAATTCTTAATTGGTCTTCTCATTCCATAATTAGTTTACCTTTTTTTAGAGCTGCTTATACGTTATATTTATATATATTCTCGTTAAATTAAACGCTAGACTAGCTAGAGATAAAAAGACATTAACCTAGGATTAAAGTTAACGAGCCTCAACCCAAGTGCCAAATCTAAAGTGTTAATGTGATAAATCTCTTATTAAGGTTATGGTGCTAGCGTTAACGTATCAAAACTGTGTAGAGAGAAATTCATTATATACCTATTATGACAGAAGGAAATGTTCAACCAACAAACGTAACGAAAGTGCAAAACTAAATAGGCCAGTTATCACCCAATCAGACCGAAAATTGAGTTTGAATGTGATAAACATTACCAAATTACTTCCTTTCCTACAGTTGAATCAAGAATAATGGGTTAACTAAATCGGTTGTATGCCAACAGTGGTACAAATTTTATATAGTTCTTGTAGTATTTTTCACAAATACATTTCGGCAAGTAAAGCAGCAACAGAAATAAAGTATGTTAATTGCACATCCCATTTGGTACCAGGTCATACGGTCTCGTATTAAAAAGCCAAAAAATTGATTTATTTATTCCATATCAACGCTGGGGATTCCCGCTGGGGATTTATTCCCAAGGGAATTGTGGCCTTGTCGTGGCGAGGGGGCTTAGTAGAGTGCAATGATCCTGAGAGCGATGCCGGCGGTAGCGTAGCTACTGGTAGGGCCTCCCTTGCCGGTAAGGTCAAAGAGGAGCATCTGAAGCTAAGAGCAATCCACAACGGTTCGCGACCCG